TAATTGTGAAATCCAGAGAAAGTCCTCCATGAAATAAAAATAATTGTTTGTACGGAAAGTAAGGACCTACGTATATTAAATTGTCTTTAAATTAATTGGCGGAAGAAGAATTATCGTTGAACTTTTAACAGTTAAGCTTAAATATTAATGCAATACTTAAATGCAACTATCAATTTTGAGTTCTTCTATAGTTTATTGTTGACTATCGCATTTACTCATCCCTACCTATTGTGATGAAGACACAATCAAGAACCCTCCGCAGGAGCCAGCTTAAATGCCACCAAATAGGACGGCTTTTTAGCTAATATATATATATATATATATATATATAAATTCGTTGTTATTATTATATTATTATTATACTGTTAATCTATTTTTGCATTGAATTAATTTATTTTGAAATGACTTAGCATCTTTTGCCGAGTTTTGTTAGGGGTCTCACAATCAATTTAAACCGGCTTCTGAATAAACATTAATCTTGGGTTCTTTGTAGGCCTCTTTGGGTATACACAGGCTCCGAGGCATCTAGTCCTGCTTTCCTCTCTAGGAGGGCCTAGATCAAGTCGATCCTTATACCAAGCCTGGCAACTATGCGACTGAGGGCGGCAATGTGAAGGCCTTAATTAAAACTAAATAACAATTACTGAGAACATGTTTAGCAATGAACTTGTTAGTAATGTCCAGTAATTAGTCAATTAGCAACTATATATAATATTAGGAAGCATCTTGCAATTATTGACTTATTCCAATAAATGCAAAGTTACAAGGAAAGAACAAAAATACCAACTAAATGCACAACAATCACTTTATTATTAGACATTTTTAGATAATATTGCAAAAGTAATGACTTAATTTGATTATGCTAAATGATTACACAAAATATAATTGTATAATACAATCAGAAAGCAATTTCAGCATTTTTCAAAATCGTGTATCTACAAAGGCTGAAAATACTCTACAAAAAATGTAAATTTCAGAGAAACAATAATTTTGATAATCTTTACAAAATTTATTGTGATTTTTGTTACATGTACAATTTGTTACACAGAAAATGAAAATACTTATTTTGTTTTGATACAATAATAGATATTCGAGTATACATAGTTTTAAGAATTAAAATCAATTTACATTAACAAGAACACAAAATTAATTAACAGGATAATTTGGGGTGTTAACCAAATACATATATGTAAAAAGAGGGAAAATTGAAAATAAAAAATAGCTGATATCCCTGTGATATCCAGTGGAATTTTTAAATTACCACAATCTATTACTTTCAAAAATGTTCATATTCTTGAAAATAAAAACTAATATTATTAAATATTTCCTCTTCTGTGGGACAATCTTTTCTTGTAAAATAGCCTGCTATATACAAAATTGATATTTTAATATCTCTCTTTAGGAATCTTAGTTTCAAGTTCTGGTTCTAGTAAATTATCAAATGTTTTGCATCCCATTTCATCCAGCAAATGTCCACATTTTGAACAATTATGGCCTAGATGAAAGTTGTATTCTTTGACTTCAACATTTAATTTAAGTAGTAGTTTTAGTCTTTTTAATATTTAAATTTTTCAATAACATTTTGAACTGTTATAAAATATGCACCTCCAGAACTTTGTCTTAATTTTCCAAACTGATTTTCTAAATAATCTGATAAATTTACCAAGCATAACAAAATCAAACCCACTATTTAGCAAATATCTACAAACATCAATTAAGCCATTACATGTATGTTCAATGGCAAAACTAGTATTTCTTGTTAATGATTTCATTCTTTTTCCTTGCTTTCCTTCCATTCTTTTTGGCATTTTTCCAAAATTAGAAAGAAATAACAGATGTTCATCATCTAAATCTGATATCACTTTTTTCAGTGGATCATTCTTTCTTAGTGTCACCATATATTTCTTTGACACGGACAATTTCCCAAAACTTTAAGACTTTTTCAATGAGATTAACTGTTTCTGCACTATCCTTCCCATTTTATAATTGATGTGTTTTAATGGCATCTACAGTTTGATCACAAAAATCTTTTACACAATGGGAGACATTTTCTCACTCCACAGGTTTTGGTTAAACTGCTACATTAGTTAGTTTCAACAGCTAACAAATTGACATTTTTCATACTCAAAAAGGTCTTTTACAATTTCCCATTTTGCTGTTATTTTTTGCCTTCAGAATAAAACAGTAATTCTGAAGTATATTCAGTAATCCAATTATTCCGAATACTTTTAAAAAGAAGGACATAATAAAAAAGTATATGCAATTTTTCGTTATCCATGGCTTATTAAAAACAGTGTCAAATTTTTTGCAAAAAGATTGATGGGTCTTATTTTTGTCACATACAATTGCAATTACTTGACCATTTAATTGTTTGGTTACATCAACAATATATTTTTTTTTTCATATGAAAAAGTTGCATCTAATTTTGTAACAGGGATCATTTAAGTAAAAATTTTGGTCCACCATTTAAACATTTTACCATGATGCCTAATACTGTTTTGCTAATCCCTCAGAATTTTCAGCCAAATCAAATAAATTTCCACCATGATATTGTAGAGCAAAATTTATATACACTGCAACTAAAAGAATACACTTTTTCTGATTTTCAGAAATTTTATTAAAAATATCACCAAGAAAATTAAAGTCATCTAATTTTGAGAGATTTGATGCCAAAGCTGATAACATTGATATGTGACCAGTGCTGATACATACCGAGGCAAAGTGCCGCCTGGGACCCATATTCATAATGGCAACCCCTATTTTTGGAGGAAAAATATGAATGAAATACTCTTAATGGCACTGATTAGTACTTGAAAAACAACAAATATATCTCATATTTTAACATTTCGAGTTTCTGCGGAAACAAAGTTATCTTCTCCACAGTTTCATGCTCAAATGAGGGACAAAATGGATAAGCGATCTTGCGACATATTCCAGATCAAGTGACTTTTAATGAGCTTCAGTTTTGAGAAGCTTCTCTCTGTAGTAGCAACAGAATCTGTGAGCGTCAAAAAAAATCCGTAGAGCAATCACAATATTTGACACTGTTTCTTGAACTTGCCATCGATAAATCCATCTAGCCATTCGATAGCCGATGATTTGGTCATCATGGTCCTGTCACGTTCAACTTTGGAAGCTGCCGTTAAAAAGTCCCGAAGTCAGAGAACTTCCAAAGTCAGCTTAGATACATCTAAGTCAGCACCGTATTCACTACCGAGAATTTTAAATTTTCGTTCAAACTCGCCTCCAGTATCTTCCAGGTTTGCTTGCGATGATAATCCAGCGAAGACAGTTTGCAGATGAGTCATGGAGTCCAGTCGCGCTTCCAGTTCATTTACAAGTCAATCATGACATTCGTAAAGATTTCTCTTTACTTCCTGCACATGTGTTTGACATACATCATCTTCCTTTCCCCTCCCCAACCCCGATATATTTCTCTTTCTTCTAATCCGCTTTTCAACTGGAATTTCCATTTCCTCGCACTTTGTTTTACTTTGATTAACCGATTCAGACACCAACCTGTCCCTATTTCTGTTAAAGAAAATTTTGATCACATCCATGTGGGTTACACACATATCCAAATCAATACCAGGTTCTTGAAGTTTCTTTTGGATGAGATTTATTTGTCCCAGAATTTCTTCCCAGTAAAACAAATGTGACATGAAGAAGTCTTCAATTGAAAATATGGAGGAGGCCATTGCTGGGAATTTAAATAGTATGGAAGCCAATAATGACAATGAAAAAACAAAATCACAAGAAAGTATGGAGGCCGATAATGGCCAAAAAAGAAATAAAAAATCTACTGTGGCCAAAAATGGCTAAAATACTGACATGAACATTGAGGCTAAGGATGGTCAAAAGAACATGAATAGGGATACCGCTGAGACGGGGATTCGCCCTGTTGCTGGGAGTCCCCACCTAAATGAATTATCGATATTGCGGAGTTATTGGAGAGTGCCAAGAGTTACGCACACCTTGTGGTAGAAGATGGGCTCTTGGAGAATCCAAATGAACTAAAGAAGATCACTAAAAGAATAGTGTCGGTTCTTGTCGTCGCAAAGCGTTCGCGCAAAATTTCTTGTTCGACGAAAGACACAGTGGCTAAAACACTGGAGTCCCTGGGGTTTAAGCCACTTCGGATCGTAAAGGGTAAAGGCTTTTTTATGTGGAACGTACTGTTACCCACTTCCGAAGACTGCGTAAAAGCAACAAGTAGAGAACTAATCACAAAGTATTTAATTCTCCATACAGAGTACGATGACAGGAGAAGGATCAATCAGCAGTATATAAGGTCCCTCCTCATGGTATCGGGGGAGCACCTGGCGGCTTTCTTGTCCCAGTACGGCGAAGTTCTGGGTACTTTCTGTGATAGCCTGACTGGAGGATGGAGCTTCGACATTATGCTGGATCGTAAAGCCTTCGTCTCCATCCCCAACTGTCTAGATGTTGGTGGCCTGTGGCTGCCGGTCATAGTGACCGGCCGTAAACCAGTTTGTTGGACGTGCGGAGAGACTGGTCACCTCTTCTCTTCCTGTCCAGATAAGAAGGCCTCTGGAAGTCAACCAAACTCTCCTCTGACCGAGTCTTTAAAATCCGCCTCGCCTGTAATGGGCATGCCAGCTTCCGGGATCGGAGTGGTCAAACCCCCGGTTGGGCCATCATCAAAGCCCCCATTCCCCCGAAGAGCCTTCTGCTGCTGCAAGTGCAGTTGAGGAGAAGGGAGAGGGGGTGGCAGGTTGCCGGCAGAGCCAGAGGGAAGCGTCAGACAGTGGCTCCTCAGTCCCCTGAAGCCCCTAGGACAAAAGGCACTTACAGTCCCACTCCCTCTGTCAACAGTAAGGGCGACGCCCCAGCCTCAATACCAGACATCCAAGATCTACAAAGGAAATACGATCCCGGCTACGAAAAGACTGAAAAAATTAAAGTCCTAAAACAAAAACTTGACCAGAAGAGGAAAACAATATCCTCTCCCACCAAGAAAACACTTCCTTCCATTTACAATGCACAGCCTCCCCAGCCCTCTAGATCCAGTCAGCTCTTCAAAGAAGGCCATTCCCTCCTCATCCTCTGCCCCACCATTTTCTTCCCATCCCTCAACCCCCCTTTGTAGAGAGAAGTCCTCACCTGCCTCTCCTTCGACATCTTTTTTCCCAATCCTCAATCCCTCTCAGTAAAGTCCCCAGCCCTTTTAGGCAAATATATACACCCCAACACCCCCAGTCCTTCTCCTATTAAAACCTCAGAAATGCCCCCCCCCTCCACAAAAGGCTCAGAAGTCCCAGTCACGAATTAACCGGAATAAAAGCAAAAAAACAAAACATATTTTCAATCCTGGTGAAGAAGCCAGAGACTATGGAAACAGAATTAAAAACTTAGAATATCTGTTATCCATTAAACAATTCGGCGACAAAGACATAGAAGACCCTCAAAATTTTCGCAACGCAAAAAGGGTTTTAACCGTGATAAGAACCGAGACGGGGACAAAGCATGTTTGGTCGATGTTAGATGAAACTATAGCCTCATTCAAAATGTACCCGCCCATTGCAATCGTCCAGAACGAAACATCGAGAAAAATGAAGCAATTTTGTGCTGGGAGGGTCCCAGTTTTTGTTCACCCCTCCCTCGACAGAGCACTAAAATTGACATTCCCCTGGGATATCGGCGGAATCTCCCAAGACGGTACCATCAAGACTGAGATGGGCCATGGGTCTATGGGAGAGGCTGTCGGTATCCTTACCCCGACGATGTTCAGTTCAGTTCAGGAAAGCAACACTAATCGGTTTTCACTATGGCTCTCTGGTTAGCAAGTAAAATGTCCGAGGCCTGATGTCGGAGTCTCGCGGGGCGAGGCTCTCTTGCGACCTTCAGGGGCTCGGGGATGAATGTTTGTTGCGTACAGGACCCGTTTTTCTTCTCATGACCGTGAAGACATACTGTCTAAGGGGTTCTCCCTTTATTCAGCATGTTTTGTTAGTCGTTCGAGAGGTGTCTCTTGGCTGGTGAGTAAGTCTTTGAAGGCTGCATGTACTTTTGTCTTCGCAGATCCGGCGGGCAGACTTTGCATGCTGCATGTTACCATAAAGGATAAGGCTCTGCGTCTCATTAGGGCTTATGAGCCCAATAACCATTCTGAGCGGTCTGCTTTGTTTCGGCAGATCGAGCCGTTCTTGACATCTCGTCGGGTAGTTTTAGCGCGGGATTGGAATGCCGTCCTTGACCCCTATATAGATCGTATAGGGAAAAAATCCAGGTACTAACAACCGGTATGTGAAATCATTTCGGGACTTTATCAGCTGGTTTGATCTTGTCGATAAGTACCGGAATGAGCACCCTCGGGAGGTAGCATGAACTTGGACAAATAGTGGCAACTCGGCTCCTGGGACGCTTGCTAGCTACCTCGACCGAGTCTTAGTTAGGAGAGTCGATGTAGGGCTCTTAGGGTGTCAAAGTTTCCATTATATAGTTTATTCGGATCATAGGCTTGTCCGGGTCCGTATAAAGCCTAAGGTTAGGTTGTCTGGCTACTGGAAATTAAACTGTTCATTATTTGGTGAGCAGGATTTCCGGGACCAGCTGCGTTTCCCACTACCGCCCCCGTCAATTCCCTCTATATCATTAGATATAGAGGGAATTGACGGGGGCGGTAGTGGGAAACGCCTGGTGGGATAAATTCAAATCCAAAATTAGATCGTTTGCTGCTGATTTTAGTCGTCGACTCAATCTAGATATATTAGCGGTGCAAACGGCTTTAGAACAAAAAGTTGATCGGGCAGTTAAATCCCGTAATAATGGGGAAATAGCCTTAGCTAAGGCAGAGTTGTCCTCCTTGCTTATCAAGAAGGATCAAGCTCTGGTAGTTAGGGCTAGGTTAAAAAGAATGTCCTCTGAGACGAAAAATATGGCCGCTGAATTGCGTGCAGAGGAAAATCGGAGCGCGTCTTGGCGACATATCGCGTGCGTCACATTGCCGGATAAGCGGACCGTGACTACAAACGCGGGCATATGGGAGGCCTTTCGGGATTACTTTCAGTAACTTTTCACCGGGGAATCTGGTCTGAGCCCTGCTCAGTTCGACGCCTATTTAGCCGACGTTCCCTGTCTGGAGGCAGCTGAAGCGGCTGGGTACGAGGTTTCCATCACAGAGTCGGAAATCTGGGAAACGCTGAAACAGGTTGACCTGGATAAATCTCCGGGACTAGATGGTATTCCTTACGAAGTTTACTTGAGGCAGTCGCCCGTTTTTGTTCCTTTGCTGGAACTGATTTTTAACAACTGGATGAAGCAGGGGTCTATACCTCAACACTTCACCAGGGACGTGATCAAGATGCTGCGTAAGGACAAGAACGGTGGGGATGGGTTAGATAACTTTCGCCCTTTAACCATGTTAAACACAGAGTTAAAGATTTTGGCGAAGATCTTAGCAGCTTGTTCTGTCTAGGGTGATTGGCTCTGAACAGACTTGTGCTGTGAAGGGCAGGACAATTCAGGACAACCTTCATATGGTACGCTTGATCTTAGAACAAGTCGACAGTGAAGCCGCGCTGATCAATTTAGATCAGTCCAAGGCCTTCGATAGGGTTGACCATCGGTTTCTGGAGGCTGTCCTATCGGCGGCCGGTTTCGGACCCGACTTTCACTCCTGGATCCGACTTTTGTATGCGACTCTCGGTGCGCTGGTGGAAGTGAATGGGGTAAAATCGGGGCCTTTCGTATTGTCTTGCTCCATTCGTCAAGGTTGTCCGCTTTCGCCTTTGCTTTACGTTGTTGCGTTGATACCTTTCCTTCGCAAGTTAAAGGTGAATCCGGTCCTGCACGGAATTTCCCTGTCTGGGGCGACCACCTCACTGGCTGAGGTGGTTCTTGTGTCTAGCAGAGCCGAGATTGACGAAGTCAGCAAAGAGATCAGTGGTTATTAGATGGTGACAGGGGCCAAGATCAACCGCGATAAGTCTGTTGGCTTGCGATTGGGTGCGTGGAAGGGAGTTTCTCTTCCCGGACCTTTCCTCTGGACGGATGGTCCGGTCAAGATACCCGGCGTCTGGTTCGGTCCTGATCACCAGTTGGAAATGAATTGGTCGGAGGTACAAAGGAAGGCCGAGATCGCGGTTAATCTGTGATCTCGGAGGAATCTTTCCTTGAAGGGGAGGGCCGAAGTATGTGTTTCACACATCTACCCGATTCTCCTTTACCGACTCTCTGTACTTCCACTTCCATATACCACACTAATGTCATTGGCAAGGCTCTTGTTCTCTTTCTTGTGGAGAGACAAGGCCGCTATGGTATCTCGGGAGATCTTTTTCCTTCATCCTAGCAATGAGATTCATCAATGTATGCTTCGCATCGCCTTCCTAGACCGAATGGAAGACGTCCGTAGAAACTTCCCATCCATGAGAAGTGTGCACTTGTGCGAAGAGGAGGCCGGCGGTACACCCCAAGCCGAATGCTCCTTCTACCGCGAATGTCGTCGTGCTCTGAAACGCCTCTTATGGGCGTCGGATGGTCTCTCCAACGTCCAGGCGTTGTCTCATAGGGCATTGTATCAAGTATTAGTCAGGGTTCCGTTCGTGATGATCTGATTGAGGAGCTCGGTCTTACGAAGCAGGAATCTCGTTCAATATGGCCTTGGGCGCCTGGGTTGAAATGTCTCAATAACGATGAGGCATCACTCACCTGGCTGGTGATTCGTGGGGCCTTCTGGGTCGCTAAAAGAATTTGTTCAGCGGGCTTGGAGAAATCTTCAAACTGCCGTCACTGTATTGGAGAAGTCGAGACCATTGGTCACGCCTTCTTTGATTGCAGGGTGGTAGCGCCGTTGTGCAAGTTTGTTGAGTGCTTCATGATCCGCATGCTACAGGGAAAGTTCTTTGTCCTTGAGGCCAGTTCTGTTTGTAGCAATGTGGTGCCGCAGATGACGAAGGCTGAACAATATGAGTTCTTTTGCTTACTAGGTGTTATGAGAGTTGTGATTTGGACGACGCGTCAAAAGGAATTCTATGATGACGAGAGGTTCACTTCTTCCTAAAGGATCTTGTTCTTTAAGCACCAGCTTAAAGTCAAAATTAGGACGGAAAGGCGGCGGCTCGCCTCATCAGAATTTAGCAAAAGGTGGGTGAATCGCGTTTGTGCCGAGTAAAAGGGGCTGATCTGGAGTGGCATTTTGATGCCGGTTAAACATCAGGATATTGTTTTCCTGGGTTGAACTTGGGCAACCCATCCCTGGATTTAGGCTAGAGTAAGTTTTTGTATTTGATTCTTTAGTTTTTCTTTTCTTTTCCAGTAAACTTAGCTACGGTGTGTTTGCTCATTGGCCCCTTTTATTTCTGTCTCTTTTTTCCTTTAGTTTAACTCCCCATCCTCTCCCTCGCTAGGTGGTCAGTAATATCAGTTCTCTGGTGGATGTCGGGCGCCTATCGTTTTGCATGTGTGTTTTTCGTATTTGTTGTTGTGTCAGAATGAGTGCGTGTCTGTGTGAGTGCTTGGGATGGATGAATGTTTTCTATATTTTTCTAGTCCCGTGTCGATTTCGTCCAGTTAACTGATATTTCTGCCACATTTAAGGTTTGTGGGGGTTTTTTTTTTTTATTACTAACATGATTTTGTTTAGTTTCTTGTAAATAGTTTATTTATCTTGTATATAATCATTGGGGATTTTTAACTTGTTGTTTTTATTCCCCTCTCCTCACAGACAATCGATTTGTACATATGGGGGCTATTTAGGATTTTCATTGAGACAATGAGATATTTTGGTGGATGTAGTAAGAAAGGTAAGTATGAATGTGTTGTTTTGGTGGTAGGAATATTGTTTTGTATGATTGGGTCAGTCGTTGTTTTAAAATTAAGACAAATGATAACCGTCCTTTTCCCATCTACCTTTTTTAGGCCTTGTGCCACATTTTCTGTAACTTTTACAGAAATAAATATTGTCAGCTACCGGAGTTCAACGAGATGCTACCAAACTCCATGCGTGACAATTCACTGACTCACACATTGAAATTTCAAAAAACTCAACAAACATTCATCAACTATTGTCCGCGTGTTAACCAACATCTGCAGTTGACTTGAAAAGTGAAACAATTTCACTACTAAAAAGTAATTGTACATTTCCCCAACTTAGCCTACACAGACAAACTCTTGATAACATTTATTCTTACTTGTAAATTACACACGTAC